CCTTCTGCTGTGTCAGCTCCAGGCGCAGCAGCTGCTGCTGCGGCTGCAGCTGGTCTCAAGTTGCTTCCTAATTGAAATTGTCTTTTGTCTTTTAATGCTTTCAGATCCTTTTTATATTTCTTTTGTTGCTTCTCTTGAACAAAAAGAAAATGAAGAAAAAACAATTAAATTCGGAAGTCCCCAAGTGCAAAACCAAATTGTTGACGGTGCGCTCGCGCTGCTGCTGCTGCTGCTGCTGCTGCTATTGCTGCTGCTGCTGTTGCTGTGGTTGCTGTTGTTGCTGCTGCTGCAGCAACGCGTATTGCAGCTGCTGCCTGCATTGCTGGTACTTCTGTTCTTGCTGCCACACGTTTGCTGCTGCTGCTGCTGCTGCTGTACTTGCTGCTGCTGCTGCTCCACTGCTGCTGCTGCTGCTGCTGCTGCGTGCGCTGCCGTTTACGTGCTGCTCCCGAAATTCATTCAACTATTCTTTTGTTTTAATTAATTAATTAATTAATTAATTAATTAATTAATTTATTTGTTTATTTATTATTTTGGGACTCAGACGAGAATACGCTGCTGTCTCCTTTGCTGCTGCGGCTGAGGGAGAAATCGGGGAAGCAAACTTTTGTTAAGGTGAGATGATTTTATTTATTTATTTATTTATTTATTTATTTATTTATTTAATTTATTTATCTTATTTATTTAATTTAATTAATTTATTTATTTTGTTTATTTGTTTATTTCTGTGTTTAGTTGGGCTTTTCAGATTTCCGTAATTTGCCTCCTTTCGTTTTTGGTGCCCGTCTTGTTTTCAAACCCTAAACCCTAAGCCCTAAACCCTAAACCCTAAACCCTAACGGCTTTATGGTTCTTTGCGTGCCTGCGTTCTGCAGGGGAAGCCCTTTACAGCTAAAATGCTGCAGCAGCAAACCCTCGAGGCTGCCTACAAAGCCCAGAACGCCGAAACCCCAAACCCTAAACCCTAGGCCTTAAACCCTAAACCCTAAACCCTAGAAAACGCTAAGAGAGGCGCCACGGCTACTGCGGCCAAACCCTCATCCTCAACCCTGAATAAACGCCCAGCGGCTTAGCTGCGGCGAAAACGGTTTAGGGTTTAGGGTTTAGGGTTTAGGGTTTGGGGCTTGGCGACGACCCCACCAAGCCCACCACGCCAGCTTGGCGAGGGTTTAGGGTTTAGGGTTTCGGGTTTGGGGTTATTTGGTCTTGAACGAGAAACACAATTTAATTAATTAAAAATTAAATTAATTTATGAAACGGAAACAAATTAGTGAACAGTTGCAAACCCTAGCCCAACTTGCGGTGTACAGACACCGCAGCGCCACCATCCGGCTCAGAGTTTAGGGTTTAGGGTTTAGGGTTTAGGGTTTAGGGTTCGGAGTTTGGCGTTTAGTGCTTCTTTTTTTGAATTTACTTTCCCATTTCATCTCTTATTTTGCTTTTTTTACTCGCTGGAAGACGCACAGGCGCGTGCGCCTCAAACCCCAAACCCTAAACCCTAAACTCTAAACCCTCGCAGCACAACATGCCTCACTCCCCCTGCGTCGGTTCTTCTCTCCTTTCTGCTTCTTCTCCTCCCCCTTCATTTACTGCTGCCGAATTAGAAACCCTCAAACAATCTCTGCAGTCTCTCCGCGGGGGCCCCCTGGGGGCCCCCCGGGGGG